AACACATCATATTTTAAATATAATGAGCTCATAATTTTCGTTTTAATTTTAGTTTTTTTTTTCAAAAGATTATACTCCCCAATTCCTATTTAGAAATATAATTTTTTTTACCCATAATTACAACTTTATCCTTCCATTTTTCTCAATAGAAACGTATGCACAACGCGCTTCTCATTTTCTAACGCCCATGACTTTTTAGCTCACTAGAAACAGAAAACCATTAAAACGACGTAAGCAATCTAGAACTAGGCAACTACCTCATCAACAGGTTCTGTAATGGCATCAAATTGAAGATTGGGACAGAAATGCAGAGGAACAAACAGGGGTGTGGGGACGGTGGCCGCTGCTGGTGTTACTGGTGACTGTGATGATGGGGGAAGGTGGAGCTCCTGGGAAGGAGAAAATGGAGGAGACATACCTGCAGGCTTTTCTTCAGCATAAAGGTCTCTGTCTCTCTCCCTTTTTCCTCTTTGGTAATGGGCCCATCATCACAATCCCAACTCTTCACGTATTCTCGCCTTCTACTAACGTCTTTCGCCCACGCCCAACATCAGTGTAAAGCTCTCTCCCTCCACTTTCCAAATTCTCTCTCCTCTCCCACTTTTTCCAGTCTATAATGCCTGCCCATTTCATGGTGCTGCCTAAAAAATCAAGGGTCGGTCGTAGATAAGCATTTTCTGTTCCCCATTTTTTGTTTGTCAAAAGATGCCAACTGTAGAAAAAGTCCTCTCATATTTTGAGCTATAACAATTTATGCTTGAGATTTGCTCTCTTTTATTTATTTATTTATTTTGCCCTTATTCTGGATTTCGTTTTCCAGGGTGTGATTCAAAAAAAAAAAAAAAATCTACCTTGGTTGTTTCTGTTGAAAATTTGAAGTTCTTCCTGGGTCCTATCTTCGTAATTTGAAGATAATTAATTGAGAAGATTTTCTTAGTTTTGTAAAGAGTAGGGGATGTTGGAATTGGTTGTGTGTTTTGTGAAGTCTAATTGTCGATCACATTGCAATTTGATTATCCATCATATCTTTTGTGGATTGAAGATTTAGGAAGTTCTGATGATTGAAGCAATTGGTCCTTGTTTTGGTGGACGGGAAGATCCAAAAAGAGATTAAATTTGCGTCCTTAGTGAGGAAATCAGGGTGCAAGTTGAGACTTGTGGGGGCAAAAAGAGGGCTTTGATACTTTTCCATCAAAGGAAGCTTCGTTTCCTTCTGCTTCAAGCTGCTGGGGAAGCTTGAGTAGTTGACATCGGTATTTTGGTGTTTTTCCTTTTATGGTAACATACTCGGTTATATTTGGCAACCGTTCTCCGTAACTCTTGTTTGACTCAGACTCAAGGACTCTGGATTTGAGGTATGTTTTTCATGGAATTTTTTCTCTTTTTAATTTTTTTTCCTTATAAACCAATGAATCAGAATTCTAACATTCATCTGAAGTTCCCAGTTTTTTTATGTAGTTTTTTGCTTCTGTCCTCTCTTTCTCACCTCCTCTTCACCCTTTTTTTATTGGAGTTTTCTGTGCACACCCTTCTTTCAGTCCTTGTGACAATTATCTTCCTGAATGTGAACCCTCTTGACTCTTTGGTGCTCCTGTGAAGAACTCATGCTCAAAAGTTTGTACCTGCTCTTGTGACCTGTGACTGATTTTTTTTTCTAAAAAGCTCATGATCTGACTCTGTCATCTACTCATCCGCCATGCTTATACTAATTGAAGCAGACAAATCAATGACTTCTCTTTGCTATTTACTTCAACTCTTAGCAAATCAATAGCCAGGATGCCTTTTGCTCTCCTTCGTTTGCGTCCTTTACTCTATAGTTGTCAAGGATTTGAAACACAAACTTCACTGTTGATTCTTGTTTATCAGATTTCAGGTGGGCGTTCTCTGAAAAAGAATAGAGAGGATTGAACAAGAAGAGCGTGGAGAAGTTTCTGGTAGATTATCATGGCAACAAGATCACTGAGACGCCCTGTGCTATCTGAAAAGGGACAGTTCGGCTGTATGGGGGGTTTAATTAGCATGTTTGACTTCCGCCCTAGTCGAACTACTCGGAGGCTGCTCTCAGATAGAAGGCCTGGAAATAATCATGCTGGTGGTAAGTACCAAGTACTCTGCTTAAGAAATTTGAATCTTTTGCACTCATTTGCACCAATAGACATAACTTGATAGAAGTTTGTTGAGCTGAATTATGCATCATATTTGGATATGCATTTTTATGATTACTGTTTTTGTTTGAACTGTGGTATGCTTACATTAAGTTCATCTTGTTTTCATTATTCCACTTAATGGTGATTTTCACTGATCTCCTTTTTCAGAAGCTGGAAATCAAGGGGATAAACATGATACTCTCTATCCTAGTGATACTTGTCAAGGATCCCTTGTAAGCATTGTCAACTTAAACCAAATCCAAATGGCATTGATACATCCTTTTATGTTTTAAATATGGTGCTGTTAGGAATTGTCATTATTGTGAGCTTTTTATGGTTAACTGATATTTGGTGTAGGATGATGGAGAAGAAACAACAGTGACTGATTCATGGAAGCCAAGCATGAAAAAACTCATAGAAGAAGAGATGTCTACTGAGCAGGATACGAAAATAGAAAATGCCAAAGTAGAATCAAAACAGTGTGATTCAGGACATGGAGACAATAGAAGGAAGAGTCATAGAAGAACTAAAAAGATTAAGAAGAAAAGCTATGATGACATCCATAATGTTGATGCTGCTGAGAAAGTGGGATTAGAAGGCCCTTGTCATCATAAACCAGAGCATCAAGCTATGAGTAGTCTTGATATAAAAAATGTAATGGAAGAACTCTGCCACCAAATTCATCAAAAAGGTGTCAATTGTGTGAAGCATGAACAGCGAGGTGAACTTCAGATGGATGCAGACCAGAAGAGTCCTGGTTTTGAAGAAAAATTGAGCGAGGCCATCAAGTTCTTAGTTAGTCAGAAGCTTACTGACAGGAATGTACATGTAGAAAATGGGGAACTCCAAACTTCCAAAGATCTTATAGAGGCCCTCCAAATTTTGAGTTCAGATGAGGAATTGTTTTTGAAACTTCTACAAGATCCCAAGTCCTTGTTAGTTAGATATATTCAGGACTTGCCGAATGCTGAGGTAAAGAAAGGAGAGTCTGAGTCTCTTGCAGGATGTGACATTTCAACAGACGAGCTTGCTAATCCAAGACAGTCTGATGAGCTTGTTAATCAAAAACACCGTAACTTCTTCAGGAGAAAGATCAAGTCTCGGGGAAGAGACACATCAAATGTGAGTAAATTTTCTCAAACTTCAAATAAGATTGTCATTTTGAAACCTGCGCCAGCAGCCTTGCAAAATCCTGAAAGTGGAAGCAGTCTTGGGCCTTCAACAGAATCTCATTATGTCATCAGATCAAACATTGAGCAGAATGAGAAAGTAAGTTCACACTTTTTTCTCTCTGAAATTAAAAGGAAATTGAAACATGCTATGGGCATGGAGCAACAAAAAACATCAATTGGTGGTATTTCCAATAGATCTTCTGCTGAGCATCAAAATACAGAATGTAGTGGAGGGGTTAAGGAATATACTGGCATGAATTCTCCAACCAAAGATCACTTCTTTATTGAAAGGATTGCTAGACCTCCCACAGGCAGACTAAAGGACTGTGAAATAAATATCGAACATGAGACTGCTGATTTTCCCAAGCAAAAAGTTTCTAGCATCTATATTGAGGCTAAGAAACATCTATCTAAGATGCTGAACAATGGGGATCAAAATGCAGATTGCTCAAGCAGACAAGCTCAGGAAACCTTAGGGAGTATACTCGCTCTTCATGACTATAACTCATCTCCTGTTGGAAGCCCAGGAAGGAACAGGGAGCTCAGCTCTGCAACTGCACAGAGACTTGCTGCCTCTGACACAACCCAGGTGGTCAATGAAAACATGCAACACAACCATGTCAGCTGTCTAAGTCAGACTTCGGAGAATTCAGAGACTCAGCCATGCCTTTCATGTGACCTTAACAATAGTGAAGTGCAAGACCATAACTTGAATTTGAGCATCCCAGACCAGTATTGTAATGATAACAGAGTGGATGAAGCTTTTTGTTCTAGTGGAGATCAGATAAGTTCTAGAGGTACATATTTTCAAGCTTTTGAATTTATGGTAATAAGCAAGTTTGGTAAATCAAATAAAAATTTCTTACAATTTGACCTTTTTACATAACTTCTCAGATGCTGTCGAGATTCTTGAAGTAGCTGAAACTATAGTCCAAGAGGAGAGCCATCTCCAGGATACTTTTCCTGAACCAAGTACCTCTTATGATACAAGAGATGACAAAACTGTTGATAGAAGTGATGCTTATACTGAAAAACAAGATCCACAATTCTCAAAACTGGTAAATTAGTGTCACTTGATGACTTGCATGTTTAAATTGCTGTGCATTTTGACACAAATACAAGTTTGCAACAATATTTTAGGTGCATATCTGATTAAGAAGAATCACATGCTGGTCGGGGTTTTAATTGCTGCCTTGAAAGTGTTGGGAGAAACAGAAAAAATGATGCTTTTCTATCTGTTGTCTACTTGTCTTTATCTCTATCTCTTGTCTGTTGTTATGCAACATGCATATATGATATTTACTCCTGACAAGTATTTGATGTTCCTTCCCTAGACATGTGAAGAGGATCACTCACCATCTTCTCCTTTAGCATCCCCACCACATTCTTCAGTCACCATGAAGGTCGAATATCCCAATAAAATTACTGATATACAAGAGCGGCCAAGTCCTGTATCTGTTCTTGAGCCATTCTTCATAGAGGATGTCGCCAGCCCGGCAAGCACCAGATCCCATTCTGGTAAGAATTCAGAAAATTTTTTTGTTGACTTACATTCCATTTTTTTCCCTTGACTTCTTAGTTCTGGACCACCTCTTGGCTGATGTCAATTTGTTCACAAATCTTCAGCTGAAACAGCAATTCAACCACTTAGAATTCAATTTGAAGAATATGACTCTTCAGCTGCAAATCAAGGTAACAATAGAAAATCATGTATGGATGACAAGGAATCAGTATTTGAATACATAAAGGCAGTGCTCCAAGCCTCTAGTTTAAACTGGGTAGAGCTCTATATCAAGTCACTTTCTTCAGACCTACTTCTTGATCCAAATTTGATTGATGAGGTAGAATTCTATCCCAACCAGCTTTGTCATGACCAAAAACTCCTCTTTGATTGTGTTAACGAAATTCTCATGGAGGTTTGTGGGCACTACTTTGGTTGCTCCCCATGGGTGTCATTTGCTAAACCTAGTATCAGGCCTATCCCAAATATGAACAACACCATCCAAGAAGTCTTCAATGGAGTATATTGGCATCTCCCCCCAATGCCACTGCCTCGAACTCTAGACCAGATAGTCAGAAAAGACATGGCTAAGACAGGAACATGGTTGGACCTTGGGGTCAACACTGAGAGTATTGGTGTTGAGATGGGTGAAGCCATTCTTGAAGACTTATTGGAAGACATCATAATAAGCTGCACAACTGCAATTTCAGAACCCGATCATTCTGCACTTCTGGCTTAGGTGAGAGGAAGAGAAGCAGCAACAAGTTAATGACTTGCAAAAGTTAACTGACTCAATTTTTCACACTCCAAATCAATAATATAGCCCCATCTCAGGCCACGGTGAACCAGAAAGTAAGCTGAATCAGTTCTTCTTCACCATAGGATGGGCTCACCAAGGTTGAGGGGCTTCATTTAAATCTCCCTTTTCTGTGGATTGATATGATGGCTTTTCCTAACCTTGCCACTTGAAATCATGTAGATACCACGGGAAGACCTAACAAACAGCAGCACGAATCCATTTGGGCTGTTCCCTGCAAGAATAAACAGTAAATCCCTGTGGTTATTTTCTGTGAGCATTGACTGTTTGATCTTGGTTCGCAGATGACAACAAAGCTATATCCTTTAGAATTTGTAGCCTTTGGTCTGTATTCGTTGTGTCTCTGGATGTTTTGCATTATGATTGAGTCCATTCGATTCATTCTTCGGTTTGTTTTCCTGTCTTGTTTGTTGAATCCACTTGCTTATGTATTTAGAGTCGAGAAAGTGTCTCAAAGTCATCACTACTTCGATGTACCATGTAAGTGAAAAATGCAAAGGAATTTCATACACTAGTAATGCGTGCAATAATAGTCATGTGAAAAATACAAGGAATTTCAACATGCAATACATTTTGAATATAATGTAAAAGATATAGTTAATGATTTAAATAACTCAATAGTTATCTTCTTCAACTAGAATTAAGAGATTTTGAGTTCGAATTGCATAGCATGCGGATAAGATTGGATAATGCCATGCAAATGGGATGGGATAAGGGATGTGAAATAGTTGTTTTTTATTGTGTTGTAAAAGATACAATATTCTTTCCCATCCCCCTGGGAATTTTTGTGGCTCTACTTTGTTTGAACGTGTTGATTGGGAGCTCGATGTGTCGACACAGGAAGCCTTTTAATTTGTTAATGGGTTTTTCTAATCTTTAAAAGCACATTTTTACCATAAATACATTTTAAAAAATATAAAAATTAATATTAATTTTAATGTAGGTACTAAGTGAATAAATTTAATTAAATAGTTAATAAATTAAAGATTAATTTTTATTTTTTAAAAATAAATTTATGATAAAAAATATATTTATTATACTTTTAATCTATAAACTTATGATACATGTAAAAAAAATGATGATTGAAAAATTAAAAGTTAATTTTTATTTTTTAAAAATAAGTTTATAACAAAAAATACATGTAAAAAAAGTGATGACTGGCATCAAATCTTATTGAACAGTGGGAGACCTAGACCTAATCAACTCGTGGACGCAAAATATAGACAAAAAAAAATTAATAATAATTTTATTATCACCTAGATTAGGAAGTAAGTAACAAGAATATTGCATTAACTAGCTAATTAATCTGGGAAACAATAATATCCGAATATCAAATACTAATACTAGTCCTACATCTTAATTAATAATTATCTAAATAATCAAAAACTCATGCATTTAATGAGACCAAGCTCTCCACGTATGGAATTACATTGAACCAAGCGTCTGGAAATTGAAGTCCATGAATTGCAATGTTCTTGATTAATCCGTCTTTTGGATTGAAAAGAAAAAATCCTTTTCTGTTTGACTCTATCAGAAGTTGTCCATTCAAGGT